GCCTTCCTCTTGGCGGCGGCTGCGACATCATCGAAGGGGGCGGTCGAGGGCTCACCCCCCTTCTTAAAGAAATCGCTGACGGGCTTCTGCTTGCCCGTCTCCTTCTTTCCCTGGAACTTCGCCTTTTGTTTCTTCAGGGCAGCGAAGGAGTTGATGTCCATGTTAACACCTGCGAGACAACGCAAGTAAATAAGGCAGAGGGGTCAGGCCAAAAGAAAAATAAAAGATGCAAAAGGAAAAAATCTCTAAGTGCCAAAAATTGAGCCCCCGGGAACTACCTCATGTGCTCTCGAAGGCTCACTCTAGGAGGGGGTAATTCTCATCCGTTTCCCCCAGGAAGCGATAACGCCGGAAGCCAAGAAGGTACAGATCATCCTCGAGGGTCATCTCCTTGACCGTCACATGTTTATCCTGCCCCACCGGGATAGAAGATATCCTCTTCCCCCATTTTTCAAGAGCAGCACTACCCTCTGGCTTTACATGCCTCCTGAAATAATTCCTCAGCACCCTCAGGAACGGGTTATCTGCCATCTTGATATAGCAGAAGCGGTCCTTCCAGCCTTTGTGAGATGAGGGCAAATCGTCAAACACCCTCCACGGAGCGAGCTGCTGGAGGTTCGCAAACCCCTCAGAATTTGCATGACCCCCCCGGCAGAGGTTAAAACTTTGGAAAAATAAATCCAAACTGGGAGTGGCCCCCGGGACTTGCAGAGGTTCAGGAAACCGACGATATAGGAATGGCTATTCGGGATAAGTTTACAGGGGGCTAGGCCAACATACCTGAGGTACTCCAAAAGGAAGGAATGCAATGGGAACCGGAGGCCCATTGAGACGAAGAGAATATGCACAGCGATGCATCCCTCAGGCGCCTGGGAAAGCACATCATTAGGCCCCGGTTGTACCACCGTCACCGAAGGCCCTACGTGTAGCTGTGTAACGTAGCACTCGGCCGGGTCAGCTCTAGAGTTGATCGCCAGAGCGGCTGTATTCAGCCATGAATACCCTTCGGGAATCCCCACTGGTTTCCCCTGGTCGACAACACCCCCTTTCTTCTTGGGGCCCCCATCTTCGTCTTGTCCTTCTTCCCGGGAGCTACGCTTATAGGCGTCGGGTCGAGGGGACGAGAGCTTCCGGCTTCGTCGTTTAGCCGAGAGGGGAGGATGGCGATGGTAACCTTTTGCCTCTCTTTCTCTTCCTCTTCTTCCGCAGCTTGGAGAGCGAGGGCCAGCTCCTCGTCGTCATTGACTTGTTCAAAGTCTTCGGCCTCGGCCACCAAGTCCTTCTGCACCACGATAGCGACGGCGGAATCACCACTCACCGAGGGCTGCTCGCTAACAGACTCCACGACTGTGATGCTCTCTTACTCAACAGAAGGCTCCCTCGAGATATTTTGCCAATCACTTTGCGAGGACATTTTTACTACGACCGAAGGGTTTGAGGGGAAAGGGTTTTTCTAAAAAAATCTAAGTCCTAAAAAGAAGAACCTACTAAGTAAGCAAAGGGCAAATGAGGAACTGACCTTGGGGGCAAAGTTTGATCGCAGAGCACTTTCTCTCTCTAGAAAAAATTGGCCAGGGCTTCGCTAGAACAAATGAAACGCGTAAGGGAGGAATGACCCTGGCAAGGGGTATTTATAGCCTCCCTCAATCCGGGCCTGGGCTTCGAATTGGGCCCCCAGTTACAAAAGTCATCATTGCGCACCGTCTCTTCAGCCAACCGGTGACACCCACCCGCGGTCAGCCAACGGGTACAAACCACGTGGGCACCACCTCCAACGGTCATATTCCAGCTGTCATGTCCCAACGGCTCTCTTTCACAGACTAAGTTCCCTTCACCTGGCACCCCTCAGACAACACTGTGCTTGCCTTCGGACTCCTTCATGAAAGGAGCCCCCGGATTAACAACGGGTAAACCCCTCAGGGCCCCTCAGCCCTCCGCATGTTGAAAGCCAGGGAACCCCTCATCTGTGGTTAGCCTCCGGCACACAGGGACAATCACCGGAATTCATCAACGGAGATCACGCCTTCAGTCTCATTGGCTGGGGGACTACCCTCGGCAGTCCCCGGGATGCTCGCTCATGCTTATCAACTACAGACACCTTCGAGGAGTGCCCCCAGCAGTCACTCCCCTCGACATCACCAGGACACCAATGAAGGGGCCTTCGGCAAAATCAGCGATCAAACCCTCATATCACGAATAGCTCTCGGCGGCAACATTGCTCTTCACCTCAAACCAAAAGCTCACCTTTTTTATTCATCATTGGGGGACCTCGATGCACTCTTTTTCCCTCATTAGGATTTTTTCCCGAAGGGTTTTTCCTAATGAGGTTTTTAACGAGGCATCCCCCCAAAATGAAACGAAAAGCACAAGCCTTCGGCCTCGTGATGAAAGCAGGCAACCCCCTACTCCTCTTCACCACATTACATGTGCCTCAAGGAGTGGGGGACTGGAGGACCCCTTCGGGAAATTCACAAAATTACGAATAAAAATTTTCCTTCGGCCCCAAGATGTGGGGGACTGAGGGACTGCCCTCGGAAAACACGCAGGCGCAAAACTCCTGACCACTTTTACAAACTACAGCAAGGCAACATCAGAGGACAAACGCAATTACTCCTTTTTCCACAAGTACCTTTCGGCAAAAGGAGTTAGGGACTCCTGATGGAGTATATGGCCAGGGACCCCCGGCCCATAGACTCCTACTACTCCAACAAGGGCCCAACAAGCCCAGGAAGCACAACAGGCCCAAGGCACAGCTCCCCGAGTAACAGGCAGCCCACGGTTTCCATACAACTGCCTTCGGCCCCTTGGCCGAAGGCGCCAAATTGACACAGGACAGTTGGCTTAGGCATACGAAGCTACTGGGAGAAAACGTCGAAATCAGTGGCCTTCGGCACTAGGAGACCCCCGGTATGCAGAGCCTTCAGACTATCATCTACAGCCGAAGGCATCCTCCTCGACAAAATCTCCCATCCACATGCGCTGGATCAACGTACCAAGTACAAACGTCACATCCAACCACCGCATTTAATGCGGCCACATGCGAGTGCCGGTGCCACCCCGTTGAGGTGACCCCTCGACCACCAGAATGATGACATGTGTCCTTATCTAGCATTTATTTCTACTATAAATAGCACCCCTTTCCCCATTGTAAACCACGTTCAACACGCTCAATATAATTCGAACACACTTGAACTCTTTATCTCTCTTACTTATTTTCTCTGACTTCTCTCTAAGTTACTCCCTGCAGTAACCCCTCGGATAAGCAACCCTCGGGTACACTATCCATCACTTAAGTTTACAGCCGCACTGCCGTCGACCTAACAACCCAGAACACCATTAATTTGGCCCAAAATCGGTGAAGCACAGACCAAGATCTGGAATCTGTGAAGAACAAATTGACCTAGTCGGTGTCCAGATCCAACAACACCATGGGTCGCTGGATGCAATAAATCGAGCAACGACGTGAAAACCTAGCCATTATGGCCCTCGCCGCCAGCAAAGGAGAGGAATAGCCGCAGAAAAGGAGATGCACAGAGCAGCGATGTCGTCGTTCGTTGTTTCCGGGCGATTGCGCAGAGCAACGACTTTGCCCATCGAGGCGGAGGCAGAGGCGAGGCTAGCTGGGCAGAGGTGAGGTCGGCGGTTTGGCACATGAAGGAAGATGCTCTGTTTGCTGGGAAGTAATGCGCAGAAAGGTCATCGGGGAAGAAGAAGTGCGCATAGAAGAAATGTGTCTTTTGTGAACTTTTTAAAATTGGTCATCTTTTTGTCCCACATAAGCTGAGAAGTAACATTGGTGCCATTTTTTCATAGATATTTTGAAGGACATGGATAAATCACATAAATCTTTCTATTAAAATTTTTTGTTCCTCTCAAAAAAAATTGTTTACCGATCCAATCTTTAGGACTCTGCAAGGGTGCAGATTTATCTCATATGGATGTTTGATTAGTTTGTTAATTGATTTATTAATTATTTGTTTCTTAATTGTTGATTGTTATCTATTGAGTGTTGGTGTTATAATTTATTGATTTTGTAGACAAAATTTTTTAATTATAACTAAATTTATATATTTAATTAATTTCATGGTGTAATAAAAATGAATGAATTTGGATACGATTAGAGAAGATTAGAGAAAGCGGCACTAAGTAAAAAAACTTCAATAACAGAAAAGTTTATTTGTGAAAGAAGTCAAATTCTGAAGGTCCTCCTCAAGATGAGAACTAAGAAAAGAAAAATGATTTAGCTAGCGAAAATGAAATGATTCAGAATGATCATGTCATTGGAGTGGGGAATTTAGGAAATGATAATAATAAAGTTAATTCCTTAAATAGGACTAAAACAGTGGTAAAGTGTACAAATAAAACCACCATTGCTTCTTTCATAAATAAGGACCACCAATACTAATATTATTGATTTAGACAAAAGATGGTATTACAATTTTTTAAAAATGTATTGACATATTGTTATTGTTGTTGTTGTTATCATTATCATTATTATGCATTATAATTAGTTTAGACACAAAATGATTTTACATTTTATTAAGATTAGACCCAGGGACGGATCCATAATATCGAGTCAAGGGGGGTGAATTTTTTCTGTTAGTATAGGGGGTGAAAAAAATTCGCTAGTGTATCGTGGCAATTTTTTCCGCTTTTGTAGCGGGGTGATTTTTTTTGCTAGCATAGAGCTTTGCGCCTAATTTTCATTCAAAAAAATCCATCGGTACATACACGGTGATATTTAAATCTATTACATTCTAAGTTTTTTTTGAAAGAATATTATATTCTATGTTTAAACAATGGAAAAATAATTTTAATTTTTTAATTGTAAATGCTCTAAAAAAGTATTGATACATTAAAGCATAAGAAATGACAAATCAAATGAAAATTATTTGAAGATAAAGAGTTTAAAAGGTACACATCAACCAAGATTTTTAAATAACTTCTGTCTTGTTTATCCATATGGATCTTATTAGAATAAAGAATTGGTTTTTGAATTGCAATTTTTGTCTACTAAGGATGGTGTTCGTGGGTCACGAGAAGTTTTCTTTTTTTTTTGGATAAAATGTAAATATATATATCCAGAAAAATAACAATACATGTATCAAAAAGATCTATCTAAGCTAGCAGGCTAATCTAAAATAGAATCTACCGTCTCCCCCCCCCCCCCCCCCCCCCACCTTGCGGTAGGGGGAGGAGAGAGGATTTTTTCCGAAGTCCAAAAGACATCACAAAAATACAATCCAGGAATGGTACGGGACAGTCCCCGACTCATTCATCAAAAATAAATCAAAACCCAAGTCCAAGCCAATGAAGGCCCATCATTGGAAAATCCAGCAAAAAGATCACCATCATCCAAGCTTCCTAGCTTCTGGGCCAGCAAAGGCCCGTCCACTACTCAGCATCAAAGTAACAGCAGCTCAAGATCAAAGCCCATCAGGTGAGCCCATCCCAGAGGCGTCCAAGCAGGCTAGGGTTTCGGCCCAACATGGCATCCCTTCCATCGAGCGCCGCATCCTCCCTAATTCGAAATTCGAATTTCAAAAAAATGGGACTGGTCGGTCAAACGACAGTCTGGCAGAGCAGCTGTCAGTCAGAGTCAACCCACCCCACCCCACCCCCCAGCCACCCCAATAGGCGCCGGTACCACCCGTCGGTCAGGCGACCGTAGAATGAAGCACGTAACCTAAACCGGAAAAGTCACCCCTGTAGTCCGAGCCTCCACCTTCCACCACTCACCGCCGTCGAGCCCCGACGACCCTCGGCGACGTAGGTGAGATGACGGAAACGTGGCGAACCAGCAATAGCCAGAAAATTCGTAGCGTCAGGCGAAGTCGAATCCTTCTCCGGCGAAACCTGTGCGCTTTCAATTGAACACCATCAGTCAGCAATGTTCGCTCATCACCCCTAGCAGTCTTCCCTGTCCAATCAGCCCCTGCACTCTCCTGTCATCATCTCAGACTCACAAAACCACTATCCATCGCCCGAGAACCTTGAAACCCACGTCCAGATCTCACCTCCGGTTAGAACCTCCTCGTATCATCACCGGACTGTCACCCAGTCCTCGTCACTGTACATGCCCCCCCTTAACACGCAATGACCCTGGCCGGCTGGTTGACAGTGATGGCCGGCGGAGACAGGAGCTCATCCCTTTGATTCAAAACGAAGCATGCGCCCTCAGAAACTCAACAGCAATTTCAAGCCTTCCTCCGCCATGAGATAGACACACCTTCGACTACAGGATTAAAAGACACCCCCAAAACAGTCCGTCTTGTCCGGCCAATAGCCACGACCCAGTCCAGACCTTCCAAATTACCGTCGCACACCAGAACCGTCGCCTTCCCTTTCCGTCACCAAGTCATTCCCCACGGCCGTCAGTCGGTTTGGCTAAGAATCCAGCATGCTCAGGCGGCTCTTCCAGTCCAAACAAGGAAGCTTTTCGGCTAGAAGAAGAACCCTCCTTCACCAAGAAACCTTCGAGTAGAAGTCCCAAAAATCAAAACGAAGAACGTCGCCCATGGTCACCGGAGTCAGGAGGGCTCCGGCGCCGACGACCACCACGAGTGGTGGTGCCGGAAGAGAGGAAGAGAAACTAGAGAAATCTAGTGAGAGAACAGCTCTCAACTCTTTCTCATCTTACCGAGTTCTAAAACACGAGAAGTTTTCTTAATATTACAATAGTATGTGTGATATTATTATTCTAGAATAATATTATACATAGTATTGTTAATTCACATATATGGTGCATATTGTATTTGTATTAATGCTACAGTAAGTTCAAGTTTATTATCTATATATTCAACAAATTGTTTTTAGAAAGTAATAAGTAAATGAATTGTGCAATTTAATGTCAATAAACATTTATATTTTAGATTCACTTCACATGATCTCAAAATTATTTAACTAGTGTGTATGCTATTTAATATTGTTCGATATTTTACAAAATTGAGTACTAATTATCTAATAAAGACAATTAAATATTACAAAGCTAGAAATTTTTATATAATGGAGAAAATAATTTAAATATCCCAAATTTTAAAAGGGTGAGTTAAGTACCCCAAACCTACATATGTAATATATATACCCCGAACTTTACATAAAAAGTTATGTTATCACCATTACTATGTAGTTTTTATTCAAAAATGTAAACTTATGGTGTTAAGCACATGTTTTAAAATAGTTAAACATTTATAGAGATGTAGTTAAAGCATCATAAATATACATTGTGAATGAAAAAAACATATTTTCATGGTACTAATATTACTTTTTATATAAAGTTTGAGATATAAATATTACATATGAAAATTTGGGGTGTTTACATCACACATCTTCAAAGTTTGGGATAATTAAATTATTTTCCCCTTATATAATAGATATCGTATGTCTTAAACAATGGGTTGTGCTATTGTTTATTCATTCAAGTTAAGTAAATTATTTTAGATGTTACTTTTTTTAAATCTCTAATTATGTATTACATTATGTAATGCTATATATAAATTTTTAAAACTAAAAGTTAAGGGGGGCGAAAACATATATATCTAATTAAAGTATGGAAATATTACCTATATAATAAAAAAAATTGAAAGTCCAAGGGGGCGGTCACCCCCGCCCCCCCCCCCCCCCCCCCCCCCCTTAAATCCATCCCTGATTAGACCCATTTTAAGCTTACGCTCCTCGACACTCAAAACATACATGATCAGTCCTGTTTACTCCGTAAATGGGTAATCAAAATAACATGCAACAGAAAAACAAAACATGTATTTATTTTGTTTACACTATTATAACTTTATTTCGTTTAAAAATATTTTATGCGACAATCCAAATAAATAATAGCCTCAAAACATAGATTTTTTTCGAAAAAAAACATGTTTTCATAAGCTTTTTGCTAATCTTCATTCCCAAATAATACAAGGTTTTCCAAAATCCTATGAAAACATGTTTTTTCCAAAAAAAACCTATGTTTTGAGACTATTAGATATTTTTAGTCACAATGGTAGTCTTCAAAGTTTCTTCCTTTTAGAGTCACAATTGTAATCATAGAAGATTCTTCCCTATAGAGTTTAGAGTTTTTAGTAGACGTTTATTTATGACTTCTTAAATCAAGAATCATTATCACTTTATAGTCTTCATATATTAAATATTGGTATTGATATGTGTTAACATCATTGTATTAAGTGAAACTAATAAATAACTAGTCAATTGAGTCGTGCGTTGTACGGATGACGGCCTTTTGGCCTCAATATTACAAAAATAAATACAAAAGACAAAAATGTGATAAAATTTTCAAAATTCCAAAAATATGACCTAACAACACAACTAAACCCTACAGTGCAAAGTGTCTCCGGTCAAAGTAACTTCGCAGCCACAGTGACCCGCCGCCACAGTGATTGCCCCACCAATCACAGTGACTCCGGCCACCGTGACTGCCCGTCCACCAGCCACCGTGACTGCCCCACCGATCATAGTGACTCCGACCACCGTGACTGTCCGTCTACTGGCCATAGTGACTACCCGCCCACGTACCACATTGACTGCAAGCCACAGTGATTGCCTGCCCAACTCCATCACCGCCATCCACATGGGAAACCACCACCTCCGTTGCTGCAAGCCACCACGGCGATTGCTGCCGCCCGCTACTGACGCTGGCCAGCAGTGCCACCCCCTGCCCGCTCACCACCCCACAATCCGGTAACTCAACCACTACTTCACCCCTATCCCTAAGCACCACCACCCCATCCCACCTGTTTGCCCCCAGCCCCCTGTCCGGCCAGTCTGCCGCCGCCAGCGACACCACCTCTGACCACCAAACCCCAGGCCCCCTCCAGCACCCTCCCCCAGCCTCCAGCAACCCACAACCCCCCTCCTCCACGCTCACCCAGACTCCTGCAGCCCTCCAGCACCCTCCCCTAGCCCCCTACCCCCCAACAGCCCCCCCATCCTGCACCCTATCCAGCCCTTCCACTTGGTGCAGACATGCCTCTCCAAGACTCCAACCTTCCCCAACGCCGCACCCCACCTGACAACTCTAGCCAGCGCCAACACTAGCCTCACCTTCCCAGCATCTTCTCCAATTGCTCGAACTCCTATCTCCCTAAATAAAAAATTCTAGATCTACGCAGCACAAATTTGCTCAGACTCAAGGTGGACGACAGATGTGTACTAGCCACCAAAGCTCCTCATCTTCGATCTCGCAGATGGAAGACCGGGTCGATCCACCGCTATAACGCCGGCGTCGCAGGGCCGTCGACGTCGCTGGTGCTGAGAAGAAGAAGAGAACGACGACTGGATAGCACCGACAGATGGAGAGCGGCAGTGGATGAAGAGAATAAGCCTGGCATTTGAGGATGTAAAGATCCGCCGGAGGCTTTTTTGTTGGAGCTTCGTCTTGTTGTCGATGGCGGCGAAGAGGAGGCTACTGTGCGGAGAGAGAATGTTCAGGCTGTGCGAAGAGGAGGTTACGGTTGGATCTTTGTGATTTGGGTCACATTTTTTGAAAAATGTAAAAGTTGTATTTTTTGGAAATGGAAACTCCTATAGTGATAGACGGGCCATTTTTTCCACTAAATAATATAAAAATAATTAGTGATCTAAATTATTCTAAAAGTTTCTAGCACTAGTGTAATCTTTTAGAAATTATTCTAAAAGAAAAATCTTTTGTTTTTCTAATGAAAAACAGTGCATATAAAAATGCCATTTTTAAAGCCTAGTAATGTCAAACTTGGCAGAAATTTACTCTTATTCAAGGAATAAAAAACATGATAGTCCTATTTTGGAATTTCAAAAATTTTTTACTTCTATTTAGGAAATTCTCTCTAAATTTAGCCACAATATGACAAGAGGTGGAAAAAATAATCACTTAATTTATTTAGAAAAATGTCATTGTGTTTTTAACCTAAATTCAGCATTATTGACACTTTTAGTGTCATTAGATCTCTTCTTAACACGAAAATCATTCTCGTTTTACACATTTAGACTTCTATTTTATTTGGCCACTCCATCCATACAACCATATATGCACTATAAGTATTATGACTAAAAAATAGATACAAGTATGTTGGGATATTGGGCCACAGGCCCAATACCCGGATCCAAGGCCCAACATATCCAGATCATTAGACGGGCCCATAATCCAGAAGATGAACAAGCTAATGGAAAAATATGTACCGAACGAGGTTCGGGTCAATTAATGTACTTGGGCCAGATCATTAATAGGACAGATCAATGATGACTCCAGATCAATATACCGAACGAGGTTCGGTCTAATCAACGGACTTAGGCCAACTAGGTCCATTATCCGTTCGGGCAACGGGTAGTCAACAAGTGGCAGGGAGCATTTATTGCTAAAGTATGACGACAGCTAGTGAGAGTATGGGTTTCCAAGTGGCTAGATAAAGCAACCAATCAACATGAAGTACCTCATACCCCCCATTAGTATAAATAGAAGAATTAGTTTCATTGTAAAGGGTTAGCATTTTCATACTCAAGCTCTAGAATAGCATTATCACTCTTGTTCTTGTATTAATCATTACTCCGATGTATCGATCGGGAGGTTTCTGTGTAATCAAGCAAGTTATTTAATACAAAGTGAGCTTTAGAGCAATCAATTACTCATCTTTTATATTTCATTATACACTCGGTTCTGATCCATTTCCTGATATATTCAAAGTTCGTGTTGGGCTTTCGGATCTGCGGGACTAAACCTCAACATTGGCGCCGTCTGTGGGAAACTAGGACAAAAAGTTTCACGCCAATCATTTATTCAAAACAACTACTTTCAAAATGGTCAGAATCAGAAACTGCTTTCTATCTCATCTCCATGACCCGATCATAAGTATTCCCGAACAGGTCATCAAACCCCAACTCATCAGGATCGAATGGTTTGGCGAAATGCTCCAAGATCAGATCAAGGTTCTTATCTAGAAGCAGATCTTGACTTTGCTTCACAGTCTTCTCCGTCAGGACATCCAAGAAAGACTTCCATTCGGGCGTGCTATCTAAAAGATCGATCCCTGCCTTGATTGGATCCTCGCTCTCATGAAGGAATTGGCCAAGGTGGGGCCCCAACAACTGTCGAGCGGTGTTCTGTAGAGCAACATCCACCCCTTTCCCTCGTTGATATTCAATCACCACCTGATTGGTGATCTTGGAAGTATCAGCAATATAAGGAACGGGAGGATTCTCTTGTTGGAACTTTTTAAATTTCACACCGACAGTTTCGGTCACTTTTACCTTGGCCTTAAGATCTCTAATTTCTCGATCACGACGTCGGATCCTCTCCTCCATCTCATCCAGTTCGGTCATCGCTCTCTCACCCTTTTTGAGGCGATCCTGCATATCCGTGATCAGCTTTCGGGAGGCAGATAGAAGCATCTGACCATCATCCCGATCACTGGCTATACGTTTCATCTCCTGCTCGGCGGCCAGGAAAGCCCGGTGATAGTATACTCCGGCCTATTAACAAAGGCAAACAAAGTCAGATAAGGTCAACCTAAAAATATGTAAACAAAAGAAAATTTTGAAGGATCTATACCTTAAGAGTCTCCATATGACCTGCCTCGACCAAGTCAGACCAATGGGTCAGAGTAGAAAAACTGGGAGGAACCTTCAAGGAGGTACTGCACCACATAGAAAATGGCATCTGCCCGAACATGTTTCTTCCCTCTGCCCAGGGTCCCAAATTTGAAAACTCCACGAACATCTGATCGTCGACTGGTATGTTGTTAAGAACTGGAGTCTGAGGTTGAACAGGAATGACATGTTTTTTCAGCTTATCATCTGGACCGGTCAAATCAACCACGTGATCGATCGGGATCAGCGTGCTACCATCATTCCCTCTGCGTTTC